AGGCGCTCCCCTAGCTGTTTTTTTGTTTTGGGGGTCCCCCTCCCCATCATGCACGCCGCCGGGTATTCGCTGTGGGTCCCCACTACTCCGGGGGAGCCCCCTTGTTGCGGTGACGAGGACAGGAGACCCCGGAGGAGTTCGGCTAGGGCGGTTAGTTCCCCCGTGTTGTTGGAAAGCCTGCCCGCGCCGGGGTTCCCCCTTCAATTTCAATGTCCCCCCCCCCTGGGGGGGGGCCTTTTAGGCCCGCGGGTAGTTTCCCCCCATCCCCAGGGCCTCCAGGGGTCGCCCCTCAACCTTTTATAGACCAGCGCAAAGCGCCATATGACGTATTTTCTTCTCAATAACAAGGTCTGTGAATAGCCCCCCCCCCCCCCCCCCCATCCCCAGGGCCTCCAGGGCTACGCTAGACGAGGCGGTGCGTGAAGAGACACGGCGTTCGCAATGGCAACAACTCGCACACGAACACCGCCGACTCTGCATAACCGGTTTTCGGCTTACTACGAGCAGAGGACAGATGGCAGAGGGACGCATTGGGGCAACGCCGACACGCGTGATGATGCTGGAGACGCTGGCAGGCATCGTGCGGCGGCGGCACTACAACGCGAACCTTGCACACGACGCGACGCCGGACGCCCGAGTCGACTCCATCTTCAAGGACGCTAGGGCGGCACTTGTCCGCCAATTTTACTACACGGCTAAGAGAGCACAGCAAACCGAGAGGGAAATACGCCTTCGCATACCCGGATGGCAGCCCTCGCCCGGGGAAGGACCAGTAGCAGAGTGGGAAAGGGAATGGCCGCGTCCGGCTTCTTTTCTGACGACGGCCAATGCGCGCTTCCGGAGAGGATTCAGCTTGCCCGCGACATCGCTGCAAATGATTGCACAAGCAACACGATGGCACTACTCAGCGTCGAGCCTTGTGATAGGGGCGGTGCTTGCCGTGTTAAAGTGCGGCTGATGGTGGAGGCGTCAGGAGTTATACTTCGACCCTGTCGACGGGACGGCACCACGCCCCCACAGCAGCAGCGACCACCCGACTGGACGGCGTACACTGATGGGTCGGAAGACGGAGGCAGGGCAGGATGGGCGTACGCCGTAGTCATGGGCGGGGACGGCATACGCGACGTAAATGCCATGCTCGTGACCGAAGGCTACGGCCCCGTCGTGACTAGCCCCGTACACGCCGCTTTCGTGGGGGCGCGGAAACATACCAATAACACGGCGGAGCTGTCAGCGCTTGCGGAGCCTTTTCGCTCACTACTCCACACGGCACCACAACCAGCAGGCTCACGAGGGGTGGTCCGAACGGACAGCGAGTACGCGATGCATGGCGTGTGCGACGGGGAGGATCTCGCCGGGGGAGAACGCACAACTAGCGAGCTATCTTCGAGCAGCGTGGCGGCATTTAGCGTCGAGGCACGAAGTGACATGGAGACACGTCAAGGGGCACAGTGGTCATAAGTGGAACGACTACGTCGATAAGAAAGCTGACCTCGGCAGGAGCAACCGGTTGAGCGGCGCGAGGGATTGCGGCGCACCGGAGTGGCGAGACGAGTCTGTCCCAAAACAGACGCAGACGACGGGGAGAGCAGCACCGTGGGCGACGACGTGGTTATGAACGGAGGAGGTACAACCATCCCACTCGACGACATCGGTGATGGGGCCTCTAGCTACGCCGATGACCCACCCGACTCCCCCGAAAACAAACCGCCGCCTAGCGCCCCGCCCTCGTCGCCTAAAGCCCCCATCGTGGAGCAGGGGGTGATATGGATTTCATACA